CCGCCAATAACTCGGCCGCGCCCGCCCCGGCCCCGGCCCAGAACCGGCCCCGGCCCTACATGAAGAGGTTGGGCGTGGGCCCGACGCCCACAGATTGCGCAAGCTCCGGCGCCATGGGCACGAGGATCAGGATCGCCGCCAGCACCGCCGCCGCCGTCGCCGCCTGCTTGCCGCTGCCGACGCCCGTCACGTTATCCTTGATGTACCGCTCCGCGGTCCGCTGGCAGATCAGCACGTACAGCCCAAACGGCAGGCTGAGGCTGCTGCCGAGCAGGCCAAGCCCGAGGCCGACGTAGGTGAAAAACGACGAGAGGCTGAGCGCCTGGCTGCCGAATGCGGCCTGCATCATGCGGCCGCCGTCGAGGCTGCCGACGGGCAGCAGGTTGAGGGACGTGGTGATGAGGCCGCACCAGCCGGCGATGACTAAGGGGGAGACGAGGACCTCGGCGCGCGCCATGGCGGCCTCGCCGAGCGCGACGCGCGTGGCGGTGCCCAGCAGCAGCGAGCCCTGGGGGGGGGGGAGGAGGGCAAAGGGGCCGCGTTTGAAAGGGAATGGTAGTGGAGGGTTGAACGGAAAGGCGTTGACCGAGCAGGGGACGTGGGATTGTGACAGAGCGAGGTCCACGCACTCGGCAAAGTCATACGAGCGGGGCGTGGATCAGGAAGCAGCCAGGGCGGCTCGGCGAGGCGGCGTTGCGCAGGGCCTGACACAGCAGGGGAGACCATGGCACATGGAAGCAGGCTCGCGGCAGCGCGAGGCGCGCCGCGGCGCAGCAGGGGCTAGAGCGAGGTGCGGCGGCGGCCGCGCCCACTGCGCACCTGGAAGAGCTGCGTAGGAACTGGTATCATCAGCTCCTGCGGGATGCCGCCGCCGCCCTGCTGCGACTGCTGCAGCCCGATGGCCAGCTGGGGGAGGGGCAAAGGGGGGCCGGAGCACGGGTGGGATGAGAACGTTGTGGGGCTCGGGGCGTCCTGATGGGACAAGACAGACCGGCCGACCCTGTGCTGGTTTGCTGCCCTGCGCCCTTCAAAAGTACCAGCACCCATTCCCTGAGAGCTCGAAAGGCAGCGCCGCGCAGGCAACCCACTCCCCTCCCCAAGCGCGCCGAGCGGGGTCGAAACCCGTGCGCACCAGCGCGAGGCTCGCCAGGCCGCCCGCGATGGGCCCCGCCGCCGCCACGTCCCACAGGTCCCGCCGCCCCTTGAGCAGCGACGCGAGCGGCGTGATCGCGCCAAAGCTGCCGATCTGGAGGTTGGGGATGAAGTAGGTCGGCCCCAGCTTGACCTTCCGGATGCCGGCCGCGATGCGGTGGCCGACCTCGTGGACAAAGTTCACGCCGAGGACGGACGCGAAGATGGGCACAGCGCAGGCGAGGTAGGGGGCGGGGTCCCAGGTGTCGAGGCCAGGGGGAAGGGCGTCGCTGTTGAGGTTGTCGGGGTTGGCAAAGTATTCGAGCGTCTCCTGCGGCGGTTGTAGCGGTTGTGTTTGGGGTTGAGGGTAAGAGAGGGCTGTGAGGCCGCAAGGATGGAGTGGAGGGAGTAGACAGGATTGGCTTTACCCTGTGAGACTGTGAGAGGGCAGGCGTTCAAGGGTGGTAGGGGTTTTGATGGGCATGGCGGGGCGG